AGGAACACAACATCGACTGACCATTCCTGGCCCTAAGGACACCAGGCTTGCAGCCACCAGGGCCAGGGCCTTTTCAGTGGTAGCTCCACACTGGTGGAATGAGCTCCCGAAAGGGATCAGGGCCCTGTGGGACCTTTTGCAGTTCCGCAGGGCCTGCAAGACGGATCTCTTCCACCAGGCTTTCAATTAGGAACCGCCACTCCTCCTCCACCACCACCAACATCTGTGATTTTGGGTTGGCTCTGGTCCCGGTGAGGGTTTGCATTATATTATCGCACCAAGCTGAAGATCATCAATGCCAATAAAATTGTTAGTATGCCATCTGAATCATTCAGTGATTACCATCAAAGAGTAACATCACTAGCACTTTAATTGTTAATTGTTGGACTGTTTTTAATGCTTAATGTTGTTGTAGTAAGTTGTTTACATTTTGTACATGGTTTTTATGGTACAGGGTACCAATTACTGTAAGCCACCCTGAGCCTGCTTGCGGGGAGGGTGGGGTATAAATCAAAATAATAAATAAATAAATATGTCAGCTCATCTAAAAGTTCTGCAGCTCTTTGCAAAAGTTATGCCTATTTTTAAATACTGTATGCTGCTTTTCCACTCCAAATGTATACCTTAGAGCTTACTCAAAGACTGTTTCTCAGAGACATTTATCCCAGGATTGCTTTAGGATTCCCTGCTCCAAATGAACCTACCATCAGAGATGTACTTGATCACTGCAGTAGCTAGTGGTTACTTCTATTGTGACAGATTTAGCATTACAAATAGAACTTCCATATCATCTCACATCACTGCAGTTGGTTGGATTCTGTGCAGGGAGAAGGCTTTTACGTAACAGAATCCCCCTCCCCACCCACTCAAGCAGCCAATCGCATGCTCTGAAAACTTTCTCTTAGAGTTGACGGATCTTCATGGATGTTTATTGATTTAAAATATTTCTATGTCACCTTTCTACCCAACTAGGGTCCCAAAAGCAGTGAACATTAAGACATCTCAGCATAAAAAC